TCACAATGTACCTGTGTATTCCGCAGCTATGGCGGCTTCCGCGTTTATGAGCCCTGTGACCTAATTTTCAATCAATGATCAGCTTTCTAACTACTGACATTGTCTAGGTAAATACTTTTTGATTGGAATTATCCCGTTCGTTATGGATCCAATTCTGAATACAAGCGAGACACGAAAGTATTCGAACTCCTTCTAAAGCGAAATAACTTTTTTATAATTAGGCCAAGCGGTTTAAATATTTTTCGAGATGTTACTAGACATTGCCAAAAAAACTGTTTTTAGACATTGCAATTGGTTGGAATGACAAAAGAAAAAAAAATAAAAGCTCTCGTTTTCGACTTTGTTATCTGAACCTATAACGAGAATTTAAAAAATGTGTTCTGTAGATCTTGGTAAGTTACATACATAAAGTTAAAGAAAAGTGTCATTATAGTGGTTATGGTTTTGCCATTCCAAGTGATTAGAAAATAAAAAAAAAGCATTTTACTTATTGTCTAGTATACTAGTTCCTCTATCATAAAAAAAATTCAAGTCATTTAATCTGGTTTTAAAAAAGTTATTGTGTTTTAAAAAGCATTCAAATACTTTCGCGTTACACTGTATATGTTAACGCGTTGAGAACCGTGTCAGTCATATATGGATAACGCTTATTTTTAACTAGGTTTTAACATTCATTTTTATCGTCTTGTATTCGAGCAAACCGAATGTAATTAAGATTTGTAGCATGCAAAGGAGTTAAACTGGTAGCTACTATGATAAATTTTGACTATCCAATTTCTCTTTCATTTAAATGATTTCGATATTGTGGGAATTTTTTTCGAGACGACATACGGCTTTTAACGTACAATTTAAAACTTGTAAAGCGACTATTAAATTTGATAAACTATTATTATCCTCTTGTCACACTTTGACGAGTCCGACTCGCGATGGAGATATCTTCTAATAACCTGTTAAGTAAGATCGACATTCCGCTCTTTTAAGTCGGAATGAAAATCAGTTCTCTTGTCATCACTATTTAACCCGAGAAAGATAACCTACGTCGCAGAGGCGCCTGCGAAGACTGTTGATTTTTGTTAATTTTTCATAGAGGTCTAGTGATTTAAGTTTAAAATTATTTAAAATATAAAAAAATATAATATAAATGCATTTTATTTTTACAATAATGTCAAACCTTTAAAATGACTAGATTAACTTAAATAAATATCCATTGTTAGTATAAAATTGACGCCTTAGAAAAGCATGCGCCTCTGAAGCGTATGGTTATCTTTTACGTACGTTGTCACATGGTTATCTTTCTAGGATTAAACACCCAAGAAAGTGTAGAAATAAATTTTCTTCCCATTTTAAAGAACTATTGAAATCGAGAAAGTTCCAATCATTCTAACAGTGAATAAAATTGTACAGCAAAGGGTTACCTTCAAAATTACCGTATCCTCCAATCAATCGCTCGTTCGCATGAGGCAAAAGCACGCACGTCCGCTAAAGGTCATTACACGGAGGGATGTTAATCATCTCTCTTTTAGTCATCAAACGGCGAACTCTATAATATTAATCAACGGTAAACGAGTAGATTATTCCGAGAGTACGTGGTCAATCATCGTGACGACCCATCGATAATAGAAACGTGGAAATGTATCATGATTCGCAATGTTCTCTGCCTATTCAAACACGAATACCAATATCTTCAATTATTGCCAGCAACGCGGCGACGTAATGTTCCATTCAACGGAACCGAATCCATTGAAACGGATCGTGACCCACATTTCGACGGAAAAATATGCGCGTACAGCGTGAAGCAGCGGAAATGGATTCGATATAAAGGCTGGGAGAGTGTAGGACAGGGAAATGCTCCGCGGGACTAAGTGTTTTCGAAGTGAATTTCCCACATGAGCCTAGTAGATTTGTAACAGCTCGGGCGCAGCAAACGCAGGGCAAAGCCGCGTAATTGTCGTGACTAAGTTATTCATTTAAGCCACTTACGCCGCGGTCGGGTTATGCGTTATCGTTTGGACGGGGTTGCATTAATCTCGAGGGGAGAGGAAAATCCTGTCTGGGCCGTTGCCGCGGCCCTCGACATTATTGTGCCCTTCGCCAATCTAGCCCTCGTGAGAACCGTTACTTAATCTCCGATCGTGGCTCCGTTTAGGCCCTAAAGCCGGCCAGCTTTCGAAGCGACCGGATCTACGAGCGCTCTTCAAGGCTGTGGATTTTCGCGGAAATTTATTTGGCCTAATAGAAAATCGGCTGTGGTACGATGCGTTGAAAAGCTGCATTTCGTTTTGTTTCTGATTGATTTAGAGATCGTAGAACTTTTGCGTTACGTTTGCTATAACAACTAATTTGAGAACAATACTGTTTATACAAGATGATTCTTCATGAGTAGATAAGAAACAAATTTAGTATAACATTACTTTATCCGAGGCTCCGTTCTCGAGAAAATCGGCTTTAAAGTTTGTTCATCTTTGCAAAGGATTTACTTGTCGTCTATTCTTCTACCGCAGTTGCCTCCGTCCGCGGTAACGTTTTACAAGCATTAATTGCTGCGAACAATGTACTGTCCATTGCTCAGAAGAAGTCAGTTGTTTCGGCAGAGGAGCAAGAGGGATACTTCGCTCGAACCGCTTGACCTGTACGCTTCACGAAATCCACTTCTATTGGTAAACGAGAATTTTTTCTTATTTGCAGGTTTCATAGAATGTTATAACGCGGGCTAAACGAAAAGGAAGATAACACAGGCTTGGTGCTTAACGTGTTAACACTAGATTTACGGAACCCGTCAAAATGACGGGTCACTAATTTTTTAATTTAGGATTATTCATATCGTAAAGATACATTTATGAGTTACTTATTCAATTTTTACATTACTTACGGCAAATGTTACAATAATACTTGTTAAAAATCAGGATAAATATCTTATTATTACTTTTATAAACTAATATAAAAGAGCTGTTTTCTTTTGTGCTTCGTAAATCTGTAAAGTAAATCTTTATTTTAGTGTAAACATTAAAATTTATAAGGCCTAGTACTGTCCCTTGCTCAGAAGAAATCAGCTGAGGAAAGTATAGGACCGATTCCCACCAATCCACCCATGTTAACGCCCTCGCAGAAGCATCTCTTAATGGCAGAAATGATCCCATCCTATTAGCCCCGAATTAGCCGCAACGCTGAATTTCCACGAAACGAGGGACTCGAGTTCGGTTGAATAAAAACAAACAACGCCTCCTGACATAACCCGTCACCTCTCGCTTCGCCGTGGTCGCCGTTTTCGGCTAGGAGCACATCAGACGTGCTTTGTATGGGTGTGTGCGTGTGTATTATTTACGCCACCATGGGCGAACGAGACACGTGACGATTGCCCCTCTGCTGAAACAACTGGCTTCTTTTGCGCAATGGCAGTGTTTCGATCATTGTCAATGTTTGTAAACACTGTCTTGAACGGAAACACCTGCGGTAGAATAGACAACTAAATCCTTTACAAAGATGACTAAACTTAAACTTTTTTTTCGAAAACGAAGCACCGGATAAAATAATGTTATACCGAATTTGTTTCTTATTTTTTCATGTAGAATCATCCTGTGCTCGATTTTATTACAAATTCCGGCCTACCCCGTATAATAGCATAGATTATTTATATTTTTGGAGCATGGAAGTAATTATTGCAAAGAGCTGATTTTATACGCAGATGTAAGACAAACGAAGAAGAAAAGTGAGGATTATAAGTTAATATAAGTTAGTATATACCTTTACAGGTATGTTAGAACTAGAAATAAGGTATCTGCAGTGATAGAATCCTTAGAAAATGTCTCATATTATAAATTATTATTGAGAGAATTGTAGTTTCTTTTAAATTCTTCGTTCTGCCTGTTGCGCTGCCATTTATTTGTACATTTTGTAAAGAGTCTCCTTAGTGCTAAATTTTATATGTTTAACATTATCAATAATAAAAGTATGAATTAATTCCAGACTTTGAAAATCGTTACTTTAACTCCATTAGTCGTAAATGTTGCTTTTTTTGACATATAATCAATTCTATCTAAAATGAAACACGATTTAGGAAATGCGCTAATTGGTGATATCGAATCGTTCATATCAGTTTTTTCACCTGGAATATCTATTTCTTCCATTGTGTGTTGGTTGCAAGAAATCCCGAACTGAGAATTTCGGTATCCTTGTTTCGAAATCCTGAGTAGCAATCCTGATTTCCTATTTAGGAAAGGTGAAATGTTTGCTCGCAAGATTGGTTGATATTTATTGGGTGGAACTCTGATTGAAGTCAAAGTGAAGGATCGCTGGTCATTTAAGGCCACTCCAACCGGAACCTTGAGTCTGAACGAACCGAATACTTCTGATATTAAACCTGGCTGAGAATCTCTTTGAAGTTTTATGTCGATGAACAGACTACAGAACTTTATGCATTTACAGCATATTTAGGATACACAAAGAAATGCGCAAGTGGAGGTTTTAGAAACATTTCATACAACTTTATTTCATTTTCAATTTACTAAAATCATTGCGAAGAAAGTAGATTTCTGATATTATAAATCTACAAATATATATTAATAACCTTGAGTTTCTGTAATTTTGTGCAGTTTGTTTGTCCGGAATGCAATGTTCAACGATTAATTTATTTATTGAAGTCTGAATACTTCAAGTTATGTTTAGACGATGTAGCCGTATAAATATAATAAAAAATACGTTATTAATAGCTCTGACAAGATCCGAAAACATTACGTGACAACATATTGTTGTAAAATTAAAATGAGTATTTTAGAATGTTTCAATTGTTTTTTTTTAAATTTAAATAAGAGGTTAAATCTGTGTACGTCACGTCCGCTATAAATTCGCTGTACAAAATTTTGTTGCATTTCTCAATTCCATTGTCCACTCACATTTTGTTTACGTGTTTCACACAAGGTGGGAATATCACCCGTTCATGGCACTCTTAATGCGACAATGCGGTATCGTTTCAAGTAGTGTATCGGTTTACTTTCGTTTTACAGGGAGTCGGGCGGAGCACCAGCGATCTTTAGGCGCCAACAACGAAGTGGTGCCATTAAAAGGCACCGTCGATAAAGGTGAAGATGTCAACAAGCTACCCGCCATGGAAATCCTAGCCCAGAGCAGAAGCACTGCCAATTTACCTTGTAAGATCAGCAACCCCGGAGCTGGAACTGTAAGTGTCTCCTCGCAATACGAACTGTCGTATTTTAACGAACGCGACAATCGTTTCTAGTCTGGAAATCAGAACACTAAAATTCTTTCAATATTTCACAAAAATATAACAAATTGACGTATCAAAAAGTTTAATTCGACATACAGTGTCCACAAAAGTGTTTGTACACCGTTTAAATCGTAATAACTTTTTTAAAACTGAACTAAATGACTTGAATTTTGTTTTAGATGATAGAGGAGACTGTGCTAGACGGTTGCTAAAAAGCTTCTTTTTTTAAATTTTGCCAATACTTTGAACGAAATGAAAAAATTAAAAACCCTCGTTTTTTAACTTTTTTTTCTGAGCCTATAACGAAAATGAAAAAAATGCCTTTTATAGATCATGGTAACTTATATGCGTGCTGAAAATTTGATCGAAATCAGTTAACCTAGAGTTGAGCTACAGGCGTTGAAGGATTTTAAAAACTGCAGATTTCTTACAGTTTTTGGTCAAAATCGTGATAAAACTGCGATTTTTGCGATCTTCAATTTGTTGTAACTCATATCAACATGAACCGATTTTGATAAAATTTTCAATATGCATATAAGTTACCGAGATCTACGAAATACATTTTTTAAATTTTCGTTATAGGCTCAGATAAAAAAGTTAAAGAACGAGAGATCTTCATTCTTTTGTCATACCAAGTAGTAGAAAAATTAAAAAAAAAAGCATTTTGGTCATCGTCCAGTAGACCATTCTATCATCTAAAAAAACGTTCAAGGTATTTAGTGCAGTTTGAAAAAAAGTTATTGCGTTTTAAAAGGTGTACGGACACTTTTGTGGGCCACTGTAGATTCGACAAGAACTTCCGATACGAATTTTCGACAAGAAGTTCTAACAAGAACTTTCCACAGGATATCAATAGAGTGTCTGTGACAATGAATCGGTGACAGGAATCGTGCGAACGTTGAAATCCGAAGTGTCTGTGTAAACACAGTTTTACATCGTTACAGTGTACACCGTCGGTTTTCGTTTTTTGTCAGCGTGCGACAACACAACAGCTGTTACTTTTCTTTGCGCCGGTTATTTCCACGCCTGTATCGATCCCTCCAATAGTCGGGAAATGCTGACAGTTCGCTGTAGTTCTAAAGAGTAACGGGGAACCTATCCATTGCAGATTCGATACCATCCCTCGGGATCCAGACGACGATGGAAATAACACGACAATGATTTCGATACAATAATTAGACTGCGGATCCCCGAATTCGTGGCACCAGTTCGTAATCTCAAAAACAGATGAAAATATTAACAAGTATTATTTACGTTATATTTTACATTTACCGCAAATTTTCCTACAAATCTGAAATACCGTCACACCGAATAGTTGTTTCGCTTGGGAATCAGAACGACAATAAATCTTGAGGCTCTCCAGTATGCATTCCGTTGTTTGTCGTTTCCATCTTTACATGTCTTCGTTCTCTCGCGTTTTTCCTATACATATCCCTATTTTTGTACATATGTACATACGCGGTTACACTGGCATCCGGTAAGCCAATCGCCTATTCTTTCCGTCCCTCCCTCCTTCCCTCCCACTCTCTCTTCCTCTCTCTCTCTCTGTCCCTCTGTCTTTCCCTCTCCCTCCCACCCATTCCACACATGACTGTTCAATTTTCATTTCCCGTCACAGCAGCGAGTTGAGCGATTTTCATTTAATTTCCGTTCGCCAGACGGCACACGTGGTCCAATCGAGAGAAAGAGGCTTTCCCCGTGCATTCGGATAATATAACTGCCTCCTGAGTCTTAAAACCTGTGGCCACGATTCTACAGCGTGCCCTAAAATTACGGCACTTCCGGGAGATGAGGGGTTCCTGAGGCCATTTGAAGTTACTTTCTCCTTAGCGCAAATGCAATCCGTGGCTTTGTTTGCGAGTTATTAACGAAAAACAGTGACCAATGAGAGGCGAGTTCAGCTGGCGCGAAGCGGCCGAGCCAATCAGTGGAACTGAGCTCCGTCCGCTCGTTGGCTTGGCCGTCTCGCGCCAACGGTGCTCGCCTTTCATTGGTTACCGTTTTTTGTTAATAACTTGCAAACAAAGTCGCGGATTGCATTTTCGCTGAGGAAAAAGTTGCCTCAAATAACCTCAGGAACCTCTTATTTTCTGGAAGTACTATAATTTTGAGACGATGGCAACACGCTGGTGCCATGCAAAAACTATCTGTTGTATGCCGGTGCCATTTTAAAAAACTGAAATAACATTTGAACTATATTTCTTGGGTGTTAAAAGGCAAGCAAACTAACTATAGCATTGTGCTTATTTAACTAATACTTAAGTACGAACATTCTTGGATGACATATCTTAATTTTAGGAATTTATATTACCGCCATCTTCGAAATGTTTTTTAAAATCCAAAATTTCCAAGCTATTATGCCGGCGACAAACAAAAGAATCATATCTAAGATCTGCGGACGGCATAGCGTTAATATTGATACGAACTAAGTATCAGCACGTACGCCAATACGTGTGCGAATCCAAGCGGAATATTAGCGCTACACGAAGCGTTCCGAGATGAGCCGTCTGTATAATACAGAAAGAAAAATAGAATGTAGGGAATTTCTTTTCTTCTTTTCCTGCGGGAATTTTGACAGGTTGAGATTGGAGATGGAAATAACGCGCAGGACGTATATGCGGTTCGTTCGAGCATTTCTTTGCTAAATACGTTAACGCGTGAAAAACCATCGCGTTACTGCTATCTCATTACCGCAGTAATTTGATTGAAACGCGGCGAACGTGAAAGCGAACAGTGTGCGGGAATCAAATATTGCAAAATAATTTACTGGTAATAGAAACACTTGTACGAGCTGTTATTTGATGAAATATAAACAGAGTATATCAAGTTTTCACATTTTGGTGGGTCTTTTATTTCTATTGTATGAAATAATCTATCAACTAACATAATTAAATCATGACAGCATTTATTATTTTATCTACGTTTTTATGTCTTATTCTTCAGTTATGTCATCATTTCTTATTTTTTTGTTTCCTTTGTAAGCGAAAGCTCTATTGCCGAAGAAGGCACTCTCGATAGGAATGAAATCATTTCGACGTTCATTATAAGCGAAACAGCCAGTATGTTGATGCGCGAGTAATACGTCCGTATTGTTTGCCACTCGGATATTGTTCCATTAGTTAAGATGTTTGCTATTCGAAAGGATCGACTCAGGTAAAGAAAACGCGTCCAACCGGTTGTCTCTCGAAACGAAGCGTTCCCGTAGAACAACTCGGCAAGAACAAACATCAAAGTGGAACACGGGCAAAGTAAAGTTTCATTTAATGTTGTTCAATAGATTGCCGCGATACACACGCTCGGCACATCCGACCCGATTGCCCTAAAAGTTTGATTCTATTTTCGAAATTGCTTCTTTCGTCTTATGGATTCAATCGACGCGTTTGCTTCGCGCTGACGGTCACTTTAGTATGCTTCTGCTTAAATGTTTGATAAAGGCATCAAGATTGCATCAAGACGTCAGAAGTTCCTGTACCGTTCGATTACTGTTCGAATTTCGTACGATCAGCATCGATGAAAGAGTTACGAGTGAAAAAATTGATTTACGTTGGTAGGCACTCTGTTTCTATTCCTGTTTCTATGTGCTGTCATTTTTCCCTAATTCACGCTCGCGGATTGCGCACAAAAATGGACGATTTGGGAAGAGGAGATACGATTATTCGAGCCTTGCGTCTCGTTTTTATAGTTGTTGACAATCGGTAACTATAACAGCGAGACGCCAGCCTCGGATAATCGTATCTTTTCTTCTCAAATTGCACATTTTTGTTTCCTAGTTGAGCGTCAATTAGGGAGAATTTACTGTATTTGGTGCATTGCAATGCTCAAGTATATTTGTCTCGTTCAGCAACACTATTAGTACTAGATTGTTAATTTATACACATAACTACAAAATTTGTAAGGCGCTTAGAAAGAACAGAAGCTAAATGATAATGTATTTTTGCTTTTAGTAATTTTAATAAGTTCGACATAATGCAACAATATTTGTAGATTCTTCTAATAAACGATTCATCATTCGACCAACATTTTTAGTTTTACCTATACATTATCATCATCATTGAATAAAACGCACAGTGTAGTTTTTACTATTGCTATTCTAACTGTGTTCTCTTTTCTTCTTACGTTTTTAAATCAGTTTTTAAATAAAAATCCACGTTTTTTATTTTACATTTCTATTATTCATTACCAAATACTTCCTATATGATCTACATACATATACAATTGCTACGTTATCCATGGTACATGAAATATTCTCTTAATGGTCAGTCGTGACGATAATAAATATGTAAATATTTTTAAACGTTCTCAAAAGTCGTTAATTTGATGGTAGACGAACGATAGTATGAAATGAAAGTCGTCGTTGCCAGGCGTCCATATTTTTATAATAATTCAAAGAAGTGTGAAATATACTTCGTTTTTATGAAACGCGAAAAATTGTCGTAAATTGGAACTTGTTCCCTTCAAGGGGAACATGAATGTGCAACCCTTTGTTCGGTGTCACTTGGCAAAATGCTGCAGGCGGCTCGCACACGTTCGCAAAATTTTCCTGGGTCACGGTGAAATTTCCCAGGCAACTACGGTGCGACTCGAAAGTCCGGGGTCACCTAATTTTCTTATGGCAAGCATGTCGCAGGCGTCCTCAAAAGCAAAAATTAATCGATCTAATGGGCTGACGTCACATAGATTTTGTTTTACCATAAAGGGACAAAGAATTCTTTGATGAAGCAGGTTGGTAATCAAAGTTGACGGTACAAAGCGTATTTTTGGATTGTTTAAAGTGCACCAAAATTTTAAATCAAAGAAAACCTCGTTAGTAAAAATAGTGAGTGTGTCAAATGGAAAGTCTATAAAAAAGGGATGCTAAAAATAGACATCATTGGTACAAAATTCGCGATTCGATTATCGTATAATGTAAAAACAAAAGTGGTATCGTCTATTAGGATATTTTTCGATTCAAA